CTGGACTAGGTGTGTGCGTATAGTCCTGGCTACTCAGGAGGTTGAACAGAAGAAGGATTTTGACAGAGCAAGAATCCTTCTTTAAAAATGGTAACAAAACAAGACAAAAAACTGTTAGATGTATTCAACCCTGTTATTTTAAAGTATCACACTGATTTTCCTATTGTTCAATTTAATTTTTTCTAGTATTTATGTGGGTTTTTGTAATATTTGTTCTAATTATTTTTTTATTGAGTTTAAACCTGTCTATGAAAAATTGATGTCCATGGTATGAGAACCAGGTTGACATTATCTTTTTCCAGAGAAAATAGACATTCAATTCTGGCATGCAACTAGAACTAGGATTCTTAGATTATCTAATTTCCATTATAGATATTTAGTCAATTAGAAATAAAAGTTTTCCAGGTTTTAATAAAAAAGTTGATGTGGCATGACCAGTCCCCTCTTGTCCCTCTGTGTCTCCTTCTACGTGTGCATGTGCCCAGCATGGGATTCAAAATCTCATTGGCCACTTGGGATCTGTCTCAGTCTGCACAGTTCTTAACTGCTATGCTGAGGCCAGGGCCTTTATCTGATATTTTTAAGATTTTTACAGAGCCAGCCAATGGCCTCATGGTTACATCGCTGGACTCCCACATAGTCAACTGCGATTTGAGTCCCAAATCTGGTGGCTTAAATCTCACTCCAGGCACATGTGCGTACATGCCCAAGATCCCAGGAGGAGAATGGAGAAGAAGGGAATGGCCATCCCTCCTTCGGGGGGTGAGGGACATGATTTCTCGGCTTCTCTCTGTCTCTCTGTCCCTCTGGCAGTACACATGCCCTACAGCAAAATCCTCTCTCTGAAAAAATTTTTAAAAAGATTTAAAAAAATACTTTTTCAAATTTTGTAGGGTTCCTCAGCAGAGCATTGCTGTGTCTAACCTGTTCTGCCATTGTGGGCAGCAGGTGTGTAACACAGGAAGTGTGGAATGACTGCAGGAAGAAAGCTGTCTTAGCTGGTTCGTGTTGTATAACCTCAAATCATTAAATTTTGATAAATTTCAATCTGAGAAAACTGAATAATTGTGGGAAATATATTCCTCTATTTCTGCTCCTAAATCATAGAAAGAGTTGTAGGTGCCACACGGGACTAGTTCTCCATAGTATGGTAGACTTTGACAAATGTATTTTAAGTCACATCATTTGCAAATTATGATTTGTTTTTCTTTTTAGGTTTTTGTCTTAGGGTGTGTGGGCATTCACCAGAGATGGGGGCGAGGAGTGAGAAATCATCCATTGGGTGGATGGCTACACAGCAGTCCCTTCTCCATTCATTTCCTGGGATTTGGGATCCACACACAAGCATCCGGAGTGACTTTCAAGCCACCACTACGGTCTGGGACTAGAACTGCAATCGGCCATGTGAGAATCCAGTGCTTTAACCACCACACCACTAGCTAGCCTCACAAATAATGATATTTTAACTTCCCATTTTTAATTTTCTTGTATCTATCTATGAATGAACTAGTACTTCTAAGGCAATGCTTATACAATGTGATAACATTAGACCATCATTATTTTTAGAATTCTTTATTTTATTTATGTGTCATTATCATTTTTTAATTTGCTAGAGGGCACATGTACTCACCAGAGAGAGGAAAAGCTAGAAAGGAAGATTCCAAGTCTATAACTTGGACTATGGATGGCCCCATGGAATCCAGCACTCCCACCACCACCTCACCCGCTGATCCTGGACCATTTTACCTTCATTTGGATCCTAAAGAGAATGTCTCATCTCTAAGTATGTGCTCAATTTTAATGATAAATATACTTTTATCATAGTGGTGAAGGAAATAATAATCAAACTAACTTAGAGAATAGATCTTCGGTGGGACTCAGATCTTTTATTCTTATGGTCAGTACTAACATGACATTGTGTCTTAATGCATACTCTAGGAGTGATAATGTGATAGGCTTAGCCAGGTCTATGAATGAGTTTTCTTGGAATCATGAGTCCAACTCTGTCACAATCATCAATAGCCAGGGAGGTTCCTGTGTGATGCAACAAAGGCATTTTATGCTTGTGTGATCAGAAAGCCACTTTGGAAAGCCTGTCATGAAGAATGTGGAAGACTGCAGTCTCCCATCTTCTCTCCTTTGTTAAGTTGCACCACTTATTACACGTTCAAGAGAAACTCCATGATTAGAATGATATTGGAGGTTTTGACATCACTCCTAAAAAAATTTTCTACACAAAGAATAAATTAAAAATGAAACATTATATTGATCTTTGAATGTCTGTCACTTTGACTGTTCACAGTTTAATTTAATAAAAATGCAATATTTTGGAACATTCATTGAAAAGGACTATTATCTAACTCTATGTGGGGGGGGGGGCAGAGAGAGGGTATGTGCACCAGAAAGAGAGACAGAGACACAGCTATGGAGAGACTGAGAAAAAGAGGGAAAGTGAGAAAACATTCTCTTTGGGGGCTGGTAATGCCACAACTTCTTCTCCTCTCTCTCTCTATCCTTTCAGGACATTGAACATACACATAGCACCCAGTTTGGGACTCAAACTGCATAGTCAACCATGTAAGATACAGCTGCCTTAATAACTACACTTCTGGTTTTTTTTATTATCAAAATCCTTCAGTTAATGTCTTTTTTACTCAAAAATAAAGTCCATTTTTAATGTAATTTTTATTTATTTTTTAAAAGCTATTTGATGATGACTTTTTAAAAAATTAATTAATTAATTATTTTAAATTTTTTTCATTTCATTTTCTTCCATACATTCAATCACATTATTACTTGTCTTACTTTAATTTTTTCTCTTTTTGTTAGAGTCCACATGTACTCACGCGTGCAAGAGAACTAAATTCCAGTAAGATGTAATCATGCCACACTCACTTTTCTTCCATTTCTCCACTCTGTTGGGATTTGGAACATACAGGCACAGGCACCTTGCATTTTTCAAGACACCAGGGCTGGAATTTAAACCATGGTTGGCCATGTGAAATCTGGTTTCCTTAACCACTATGCTTTTCCCTAACCTCAGGTCTCTGTAAAAAAAGCCCATATTCCCTCTGGCAAAAAAAAAAAAAAAAAAAAAGGGGTCAAAGC